ACCTATTTTATGTTTTAGCTCTCATCTCTGTCACGGAGCAACATGCATAGAATTAGCCTTTGAATAACTGTCTCCAATAGTGTAAAACAAAGATTAAAAAATAGAGCACAACTGCATAGCTCTCTCAAAAGCAGTTGGTGAAGAAAACTCAAAAAAGAAACATTTAAAATGAAACAATAGTTTTCCCCAAATAATCTTCATTGAGAAAATATCACCACTTAAAAACATTACTTAGGGCTAAGAAAAAAACCCCAAGGTCTAAGAGCACCTCTCTTGCACGCACTGAGTTCAAATCCTTTGTTCAGCACGCACTAAATAAAGAACTTGGCGAATCTACTATCTATGATTTGACTCTACTATCTGTGATTTGTAGTACGACAAGTGATTTCTGGCTGTACCACGCTAGCATGTGTGAGGATGTGTGGAATCACTGCAACTAATGGACTGCAAACCCCAGTGAGCATCAAAACGGAGTGTGCAAATACCGCAACCTGATGTGCAACCCCCTGGCAAATACCACCATAGCCAGGAATAAACATGTTGGCACCACAGTCAGGAATATGTGCCACCCTGGTTTTCACAGTAACATCAACAAGGGCAAAGGATGAATGAAAGGAATTCGAAAAAACACTTTGTTGTTAAGTTATCCATTATTGTGTAGTTTATAATGCATACCGGCAAACCTCTCTATTTTAAGACATAATTTATAAACACACGCATAAAGCACTTGTTAATATTTATCTGAGTCCGTCAATAACAAGATTTTGGGAGACCGATGAACTAGGAATAATAAGTCAAAGTTAAAATTGAGAAGTTATGCTAGATATAAGATGATACGAAATATGAGCACCAGCTGCTAGCTCCGAAATGGAAAAGGTAAATAAAACTATCATGAGTTAGCAGTGAACACTGATTGGCTGCCAATAGCAGAAAACAGAGAAAAGGGAATTTTCAGTGAAAGAGAAAGCATGCACATAAGCATTCGAACATCAAAGCACAGGGTATGGGGTAAAAGAACAGTTAACAGATCTAGACATTAAGCAGGTTCCTTATAAGAGACTTTGAACATAAAATGACTATTGCTATCAAAAGAAAAGCAAGCATTAAGTACCTTCTGATGGAAGAACATACCACTATTATAAAGCAATTTGTCTGCCCCCACCCTCAAATTAAACCTGATCTTCCAAAGGCTTTCAGATCTTCCTGTCAAGTCAGAAAATACAGAGGTGCAACTAGCAAAACTCAAACTGGGAAAGTGCAGGGCAAATGATGCTATTTCTACAACTCAATTGCAAGGGAAAAATTATGGAAGTCAAAGAGCAGTACTTGGCACTTAAGATTAAAAACTGTACAAGGGCTGAGGAGACAGGCCTACATGCAGAAGGCCAGAAGAGATCCTTGCCACAGTTCCTGAAGAACCCCTAGAACAACCCCTGCCAAGCAGTCAAGAGCACTGTCGGGTTTGGTTCAAAATCAATTTGTTTTTCAACCACTCACTTTTGGATAATAATCAAAGCTGCAAACATACACATAGTAATTTTCAGTGGATACTGTACAGTTTTTGGTGTTTTGCAGTCATATTTTCCAAACGTTCCTTATCTTTCAGTGTTGTACACTCTAATATACTGACAGGTGGACTAATGGCAGGTTTATATGGGTATATTACATGATAGGAGTTTAAATAAAACAACCATGAATCAATAATTATCAATTTTCTTTTACACTAGTTTTATATGTGTCTATAAAACTAAGGCTCCCCCGAAAATTTAAAAAAAAAAAAAAGTCCAAAGCCTCAGTCACCTCTACTTTTCAGACCAAACCATTTCTCCCAGAGCAGCTTTCCCTGAGATAAATCTTATTACTCAAGCTTTGAAATTAGGTAGCAAGTCTATATAAAAATATTGAGGACTGGGGACTGGAGCAATAGCACAGCGGGTAGGGCATTTGCCTTGCATGTGGCCAACCCAGGTTCGATTCCCAGCATCCCATATGGTCCCCCAAGTGCCGCCAGAAGTAATTACTGAGTGCGTGAGCCAGGAGTAACCCTGTGCAACGCCGGGTGTGTCCCAAAAAACAAAAAACAGAACAAAACAAAAAAAACATTTAGGACTATCTATATTGTAAAGTCATACAACAAAAGATCACTTTTACTCTGCTAAATTCATAAACAGATTATAAACCAAATGTAAATAAAACACTCAAAATTGGATTATTTTTCCTTCAAATGTGTAATTCAAGTTTTTTTAAAAAAAGACAAAGTATATACAGCAAAAGCTTTCTGTCTAGTTTTAAAGTCTGACCCCACAGATGTAAACAAAGCACACTATAATGCATAACGAAAGAATTGAAAGAAATAAAAAGCTGGTATACTGGGTGTATTGTTACAAAACTCTTCATGTGCAACTCTTTATTGGCATGAGTGAATTCAAACTTCCAAACTGCATATCTTTTTAAAAAAAACTGCAATTTCTAAAATAATTTAGAAACATTTATCATAAATTTAAATGTCAGAGATAAGAGAGTTCACTATAAACAAGAGCATTGCTAATCAAAGAAACTCATATGCATTAAATATTTAAAAACACTAAGGCCCATTTAAAAAAAAACACAAAATCTGTGAAATTTTACTGCTGAAATCCTAGAATTTCACTTTTCTGAACCTGATATAATTCTGTATAATACAAGAAATTCTAATTTGCATAAAATAGCATCAAATTGTTTTTAAAAAATGGTTCCTCTCTCCCATTTTCATTCTCTCTTCAGCAAGTTAACTTTTAATAAGGATAACTTAGAATCAAAGGAATGTATTTCTTGATAATTTTTTAAAAACCTCAAAGATTTGGGAGCCAGAGAAAGAGTACAACAGGTAAAGCACTTGCATATGGCCAATCCAGGTTCCTTCACCAATACCCCTCAGAGCACCTCTAGGGAGTGACCCTTGAGCTAGGAGCCCGGAGTAAACACTATCCTAAGCACAACTGGCTGGGGGCCCCTAAGAAAAATAACATTTTTTCACGGCTATTAGCAATACCAATTAACGAGCAACTTGAAAAAAAAAAAAACAGAGGCTTCGAGATAGTAAAGGGTAATGGTGCTTGCCTTCCATGCAGCTGCCCCCGTTTCAAACCCTAACACCATCAGAAGTAATCCCTGCACCGAAAGCCAAGAGTAAGCCCTGAGTACTAACAGGAAAGAGGATGTGTGTGTGTGTGTGTGGGGGGGGGGGGGGGGAGAAGAGAAAGAAAAGGAAAAGGAGGGACAGAGTAGTGACAGTATGGTGCGTGGGGCCTTTGCCTTGCATGCTGCTGACCCAGGTTAGATCCCCAGCATCCCACGTGGTCCCCCAAGCAATGCCAGGAGTACTGCCTTAGCCCCTGTGAGCATCAAGCAACTGCTGGGTGTGACCCCAAAACAAAACAAACAAAAGAAAAAAAGAAAAGAAAAAGGAGAGCATCAAGGAAGAAAGACAAGGGGAAGGAGCAGGGAGAACGGAGAGGGAAGAGAAGGGGGACTTCCGGGAGAGAAAAGGGGGACGGGAAAATGAAGGGGAGGGGAGAAGAGCAGAAAAAGGGAGGGAGGCTGATAGACACTAGCACAAAAAAATTAAATTAAAACTCAATATAACGGAAGTCTGAAAGAAGAACCGTATGAAGAGATACATTTCTAATTAGTCAACAGAAAAGAAGTTAACCTCTCTCATTAGGAAGTCCCTATGAATACCATTTGTCATTTTATACTGATTAACTCCAAAGTAAAATTCATACTTATGCTTTCAGAAGTATTTACCAAAGGCAAAAAATTATATTTCTCAACAAGTATTCAATACATTTACAACCCCTAAATGCTGAAAATTAGACCAAGGTTGGGTTCATAATACCTTCCTACCTAAGGTTATCAGAAGCAACAACTTCTTCTTAAAAATCTCGTGAATTCTTTAATATTAGACAAATTACATATTTTTAGGCATCTATAATTTAAAAATAAATTGTTCAAGTATGAAGTTAAATTATAAAATCCAACTTCTCAAATACGTTTCAGAAATTGAAAATTTTATGACTTTTAATTAAAATGAGAATAAAGTGAGCTGCGTTTTTCTCCACTGTATTACTAAAATGTTTCAACCAGTATGAAAAAAAGTTCTAAGATACAAAAATTTGATTTCAAAAAAGAATAAAAAATAAATATAAACATGGCCAAAGTAAAACTTATTTAACTTTTCAAAGAAAAAAAAGTACGTACAATCTGCACATTTATCTATCAGGTGTGGACATTGGATATTCAAGAATTTAGCAAAATGTTTAATCCTATTCCTGTTTAAAAACACATCTCTAAGGTCAGTAGACATGCACATAAAGTTCTAATGAGACCATGTACAATGAACATAAACCCACTAGTACATTCACAGAATTCTAAAAACTTTTAGTGTACCAAATGATTTACACGCAGAAAAAGAACAAATATTAGTAGGTTTGCTTGTTACCATCCTTCAGAATGAGAGAAAACAAAAATATTAACCATGTTAATAACCATAACAGAAGTTCAGAATCCTAGGTAAGTTTAAAACTTTTAAACACAAATTGTTAAATACATTGCTCCTTTTTCTCAAACTGAACGATTCTAAATGTGACTACTGAAATTTCTGTAGCCTTTCATATCGTTTTTCTAAAGATGAAATTTTGATTAAAACATAGTCATATTTAGAAATTTTATCAACCCGCATATGGTTACATTATTGCTTACATGTAATGTTTCAAAGCCACTTCAAACATAGGACATCATACCAAGTTAAGTTTTTTCTTTCAATAACTTAAACCAAAGAATATAGTGTTGGTATAGCAATGGCGAACTGTACAAAAAAAGACATTTTAAAATATCTGTGAACTTAATTGGAGACTACTTAACCAAAGCCTTATACCAAGTGTGTTTAAGAAATGTTTCTTATTTTCAAAAAGCACCACTAATTAAAATAAAGAAAATAGCTAATAATTATTAGCAACAAAGCTTTCACCACTTGTGTAATTCTATGAACACATTACAACTTTCTTGTAAGACTGGACGAGCCGATTTGTGGTTAGGAAGGTTAGAAAAAAGGACCTACTTTGCCTTTTAGTTAACAAAATAATTTATTTAATGCATGATTCTTCTAATATCCACTTCAAATTCCCTGGCAAAACACCTAAGGCAATTCTACAAAGTCCTTTGTTTCAAATAAACCATCAACAGAAAAAAACATATTCTTTGGGCTTCAAAATAGTTGTCGTATTACAATTTAACAGGACTTCACTATTGAAGCAAATTAATTACCCAACAAAGAAAATCCACACTGGAAGGTTGAGATAACATTTTTTTTCAGAAGATACATGATTTCTGGAAATAACAATGAATTATGTAAAAAAAACAAACAAACAAAAACAACCCCCTCAGTGTTTCCAGTTTTAATAGTGAAAACAAAAAACTTCAAACACATACATACATTTAGAAGGCAAAAGGGAGTAATTTGCCACATCCATCAGCAAGTGTTATGTGAATGGTTCTATTAATTCAGATTTTTCTATTTTATTATCAAATTACCCGTTTGAAAAGCATCATAAGTAAATGATGAAAGTAAGATGGTCTAGAAAAATCTTCCTAAAGATCCTTGGCTGATACATCTCACTTCTAGAACTGGTATGCTAAATTCTAGTTTATTCATGTTTTTGCATATACTAAAATGCCCTCTTGTGCATTATATTTGACTGTATAACATCTTTTTATTATTATCCTATGTTCAGAACGTAAAGCATTAAAACAAAACTACCACTTAATGTACCAAAATTCATGTTCACATGACAATATTCGAATTGTCCTCTAGAGATAAAAAATTTTAATAATTATATTTAAAGGCATATTTTAATTATTCTTGTATGCATTTGGACAAAAGTGGTGACCAACTAATTATATTCTTCCACAAATTATTTTCACTGAGTTTACTACCACAGTTTTAGTGCAACAAAATATTTTTGTAAAGCCACGCTACAATAATTATGGCAAGGCTCATTAAAATGCAGAGGTAAATACTCCATTTTTAGAGACACTTAAAAGATAATGCTTGAAAAGGAAAGGTGTTTCATTAGGCTGAATATTTTTGTATAATAAAATATATAAACTTTTTTTTGAATTAGTTTTATGGTCAATTTTGACATAGTATCATTTAGTGGTGATATTTTGAGAGGTATATGTTTAACAGCATCATATTTGAAATTATACTCTTAAGTAAACATTTAATACACAATGCCAAGGTAGTTTCCTTTTTTTGTTTTTAATTTTTGTACCAAAAAAAGTCATACATTTAATGATGACATTTCTTCTTACCTGTGCGTCAGACCAATAAAAGTACTCTGCATTAAAATTTAAATCTTGAGACAGTAGTACAGCATTGAAAAAAATTGTAAAGCAGCTCAGATACATTGAACCCAGATTTTACATTTTCATTTGACAAATCAGAATATAAAAAGCTTGAAAATCAAGTTGAAAAAGCTTATTCTTCCTCAAGAAAAAGTATGAACAATCTGAAAATGATCAACTAGTATGAATGAGACACTGTACACTTTAGTCACATTTCATGGTTCCTAAACATACCACTCCCTCCTGGATATTACGGAACCATCTACATGTGAAACTAAATCATCTTCATTTTCATCATAATGTTCATCACTGACAAATTTCATTCCCATTTTTAGATCTTCATAATAATCCATTGGTCTTTCAAACCTACTGAGATTTTCTACATTGTTCCATTGCGTCTTTTCGGGCTCTTCTAAATAGTCTTTCCGTATCAGATTGTTCACTGGATTTTTGTTCTCTTTTTTTACACTGTCTGGGTAAGAATCAAGCTCATCTTGTTGAAGAACATCTATCTGTGATTCTTTTTGCATATCTGATGGTGGAATGTAGTTCTTTGCAAAGTAGTCACCACGAAACGTCCGTCTTCTCCTATAGCAGAATATTCCAGCCAAAACACTTACAAGGACTATGAAAAGAGCCCCACCCACTACACTAGCAATGATCGTGCCAATTGTGTCATCCTTAATTGTTGCCAGAGTTGACAATGGGAAAGGCAATTTTTTAGGTTCTGTTGCTATTTCCTCGTTGCCAGCAGTTGAGGGATGCCACTGAATTGTAGGTTGAAGGGTTGTAGTAGTAGGAGGATCTAATGGAAACAGCAAAGATAGACAAGACACAGAAAGGCAAAGAATGTCAATGCAGGCTGATTCAGCAGCAAGTTGAAAAGACAGCACAGTTAATGAATAAATACTCATAGTAACAATAGTTTTTCATTCTTGATTCGATTAGAGTGTAACAGCACTGACGCATTTCCCCCCCAAAAAACCCAAAATTGACAACTGGTCAGTAACTGATGTAGTGGAAGAAAAGGAGAATTATCTTACGGTATAAAACTAGATCATTCCATTCCAAGTTTAAGCATACTTTAGTCTACAGAAAAAACTTTTTTAATTAACAGTATTACATAAGTATCTTATAAGCTGCTGGCTTAATAATTACACACACAAAAATATTCAAGTGCACATTTTCTTAGCCAGTAGCACAAGGAAATTAAATGAAAGAATGTAGAAATTAAAGTGTCTGCTTAATTCCATCTTTTCCCATATGCTTGTTTTTGTAAGATATGAACATGTCTTTAAAAGAATGAAAAACTATAGATTCTTGTTAAGTGACCACAGTATAAGCTGTTGGTTTAATTCTCTCAAAAATATTTTCCTTAAATAAAGAAAACATTAGAATTTCTAGAAAGGACACATGAAAGACACTTTTATTAAGTAATTTAAAAAAATAAAATGCCTGGTTCATATCGTGTTAGCCAAATGGTCTGTTAACAAATGACACTAATAAAAATAAAGTAAAAACATGTCATAAGTATAAAGTGTTATAAAAAAAATTTCATCATTATATCTATAACCCATGGGTAAGATATCAATATCTTAACACTTGGGAAATTTGGGATTTTACTCGTATCAGCAAAATTTAATGTCACATTAAGAAATCTCAAAAGGAATAGCTAATATTTTAGAGAGAACATTCTAATAATACTTAAATATTAGATGCAAATGATCCTGCATATTGCCATTAGATAATAGAGTAAACAGCTATTAATATTAAAAAGCAACTAAACATAAATAGTAAAAATTAAATATTGGTTAATTATCAAATAAGTGGGATCTGTAGATCATCACAATTCTAGAATTTTGAAGAATGAGTTAAAAATCTTGAGATTCTTCACTGATAAAAACAAATGACTCAAATGGTAATCTTTGTAATTAATTTTTAAATGAATGGTGTTGATAAAGCTTTCAAAAATATGGTTGTTAGAGAAATACTACATCTACATGGGGTAAGTTATTCTAAAATTACAAGCTAAAGGAAAATACTTACTGAACCAGGTTTCATCACGGAATGCCATATGTATAGAATGTGGTAAAAATTTAGCAAGTACAATATAGGTTTAACAAAAACAGTATTAACTAACTTCTTAGGGGTTTAACCCAATCAAACAATTCTGTCAAGTTCCTTGAAAGTGTGTATTAGTTATATGTAAATCAGAGGATCAAGTTTCTCATTTGTGAGCAAGTATTCACTAAACTATTCACCTGAAAAGTGGGGGTGACAATTAACCTTCACTGTATTAAAAAACTGTAAAGTCTCACAACAATCCAATTTCACAGATTCAGGTTATTATAGAAACACTGAAAAGTCACCATTTACAAGACAGTGTAAAGTGAATGAAAAATAGTTTTATGTAATCTTTACAATATTCCCAAACAACATATTAGAACTGGCATCACAAGTTAAATGAAAGTATAAATAGCCTAATAATAAAATCCATACATTTTTATGCAAATAAAATTTTATTTTAGCTAAGTCTTAATAAAATACTAATATTGAAAGTGCATACATCTGAGTCCTATATATATGTATATGTATACACACACACATATATATATGACTGAACATTATCACCAGGCTTCTTCAGAAAAAAAAAAATGACTGACATTTCCTATTTCTGCTCGTAAAGTTCTTTATGTAAACACATACTGATGACAATTAAGGCAGGTGTAATGATAAACAGCTTTCAAGAATCTAGGATAGACAAAATAAAACCAAGCTATTTAAAAATCTTAAATTTCTTCCAGTGACTCTCACAACATTTTATTACCGCAACATTCCTTTCTTCTCAATCAGTTTTAAAACTATTCTAACCTCACTATTAGTATCACTCCCTAAAGAGAGACTTCCTAATACATTCTTATTCTTAAATGGGCATTTAAAATAGTAATGTGTATTAGACACTTGGTCATGTTTTCTAATTTTTCCGTGCTGCAATATAATTACAATGAGTTCCAAGCCAAATGAAGAGGTAAAAGGATTATTCTGGAAATCACCAATATACATTTATCATTTATATTCCCAAAAGTCTTCCTTATTTTTTCATCTTTAAATATTCTTACTAAATGTGTAATAAACAAGTGTGTAACAAATATAAGTAAGCAGCAGACTGGGTTCTTCCCATCTTCAAATTAATGAGTTCCACCTAATAAAATAAACAGCCCACTAAGATTGCTGAGGCTATATCATTAACCTACAATTAACAAATTAAAAAATGAAACTTTTTAGACTTTATATGAATTGCTTAGATACACAAAATGCACATATTCTTTTCTTTTTAAGATACATTTTTTTTTATCTTTAAAGGTTGCTAAAATGCAAACTGTAAAGTCTGATGATTGGTCTGGATTTGTATATGCATACAGTTTGACTTTTAGGGGTTGGAGAATTTATATATGGAAAAATGCTTTTCTATTGTGAGAGAGACATCAGCAATTCGAGAAAAGCATATAAAAGCAACTAGGAAAAAAATAAAGCATTTCCAGTAGTTGACTAAGCTTGGCTAAACAGTCACTGCTAAGGTATGGTTAAGAGAATATCTCAACATTAGTAACAACTGAAGTTTAATGAGATCCAAGAATCAATCATCTGCTGTCCAAAATTTTAAGGTTTTCCACTTGGGAAAAATGTCTAATAGAATTAATAACAATGTCCTTCAAACAGCTATGTAGAAATTTTAGTCTATTAAAAGAACTGTAAGAGGATTAGAAGACCCATTCCTTTTACAATTTTTTTTTCTAAATCACAGGGATGGATGAATATAGCCCAGCAGTCCAGGCACATGCCTTGCATAATCATCAGAGCGCAAGATCTAACCACAGCACTACATGGTCCCCTGAACATCACCAGCCATAGCACTGGACGCCTACTCCCTGGCATTGATGGGCCCAAGCAACTCCTCAGCATTTGAGCTGTCAAGACCAACTGGCTGAGCATCATCAGGAGAGATCCCCCAGACCTCAGGACGATCCTGAGGTCCCCAGACGTAAATAAAAAGCATACCTGAAATTTCGGAATATAAATTTAGTATTTAGGTAAAGAGGTAACTATGCCAAAAACAGTAACAAGTCTCACAATGGAGATGTTACTGGTGACCACTCGAGCAAATGGATGAACAATAGGAGGACAGTGCTAATTTAGGTAAAAAAAAAATATTAAAGGATATATATATATATATATATATATATATATATAACATACATTAAACAAAATGAAAAAGACTAGTCACTTACAATATATGAATCATGACCTTTTATTCTGATAAAAGCTTACTAGGTTTTTACCAGTCATTTGGGAATTTTTTTTAGGTTAGTTGATAGAGTAGGAAGTTTTTGAGGAATTATATAAATTCAATACAGTGTACTAGTAGTTTTCAGGACTCTGGAAAGAAAACTAAAGCCTAACCCTTTGTTTGTTTAGGTCTAATTCTTGATGATTTCTTCAAGAAAGTTATTTTGCTCTTTTGTAATGGTATCTTTTTCTGAAGTACTCAGCAGATTTTTGGTATTCACTCAAACATGTATTTCCTCTCATAAAAGTTAGCAAATTTTGACTTAAAAAATGTACTGTGAGTCTTATTAAGAAAACTAGACTGGCTTGCTTATCAAAGATAATAAAAATTTGATTTTGAATTCTGAATTTTTAGTTCTTTCCAATTTTTTCTACTGAATTCATTCATGCCACTCCCCAAAAAAGTTTATCGAGCAGCTATTAAGTGCTAAAAATTACTATAGATGGTAGGAATAGTGATTAAAGCAAGCAAACATTCTGTCCTTTAGGACAGGGGGGTCTAGAGATGCTAACGAAATGCTGGAATACAACTATGTAGTATTTCACGCCTCAATAAGGTAGAAAAGGAGACAGAAGTAACAAGAGTCAGAAAAGAATTTTCCATTCTGAGCCAAAGAGAGAGTACAGCAGGTAGGGCAGATGCCTTGCATGCAACCAACCCAAAACTGACTGAGAATCACTGGGTGGAGGCTTTGGACATTCTGAGCCTACCTGCGAAGCCCCTTCCACTGTCCCAGAATGTGCTTCCTGTATTCAATGAACTAAAAGGAAGTCAATGTGGCTTAAAATCAAGTAAGCAAGGTGTATGATAAAGATCGGAGGGTCACAACAAGAACAGAGCCTATAAATCACTCTAGGACTTAGTTTTCACTTTGGCTAAAACAAGAAGTCGAAGGAAAATTTGAAATAGAGGGATGACAAATGACATGTCCTCTAAAAAAGATCATCTAGGCTGCCGACCGCAGCAGGGAAATTAAATGGCTGCTCGAAAAGTGAAGCAATGATTGCTTGATGGTTAGGGCCAAGTTGACTAAAATGAAGAACTAGTACTATGTTACATATGTAACAAAATGGGAAAGCTGATACTGACTTGTTCAGAAGATGAATGAGGAACAAGTACAACCTAAAATTAAGGATAAATATCGAGAATTATACGGTGAGTAAATGCAAGGATGGTACAAGCAAAAAAACTAAATCATACGACTCGAAAAATAGATATAGTAAGAGGAGCAGGAGAGGTATCATTAGCACAGTTTTGAATGTTAAGTGTTAATGACTATCATACCTCTACATATAGTGGAAGATTATAAAAAGCAGTTATACATACAGGTCAACAGGAGAACAGGGAAACAGAAGCAAGTGTCAAAAGACATAAATTTAGATCATCAATGGAATCCAACTACATATAAATGCTCAAATTAAACACTGAACTTTAAATGAATAAGCATTAACACACTGAGTCTTAAGATTTACAGTAATACTGCACATCCAATTCTGCATAGCAGAAACAAAAAGCAGCCCTTTGTAACATTTGAAATAAATGCATCCTGTTTTAAATTAAAAAATCAAAGGAAAACAGACTACAAGACAAATATGTGATCTCATTCAGTTTTCTACCAAGTGCTACTGCTGGCAGGAAAGGCTACCAGAGGATTATTCGTAATTCTACGGTTCTTGTGAGATTTATGAAAAGATAAACCTGCGTCCATATCCTGTACCAAGCACTAAATGCTGGGTATGCAGTAGTATATGAAGCAATCACAACATGCTTACATGTGAAGATAGATGATAAGAGACAAGACTTCAACTATAAATTGTGTAAGTGCTATGGTAATTAAGAGATTATTCTTAAATTCTTATATTAAAATGCCTGAAAAATGTTAACATTTAAGCAAGCTTTAAACTTTTCTAAAGCCTCTAGTTTTAGATTTAAATAGAGATAAAAACATTAACTATCTATTGCAAAATTTACAAACCTGCATTTCCCAAGGTTCTCTTCATTTTTTCTTTAATTTTCTGTGTTAGCTGTGAAGACTACTAGATTCTTGAGCATAATTTATATTATGCATACTCTACACTAAGGAAGTGCTCAAAATATTTATGTAATTTTGTAAGAGCATTCCATTGCTAATTTATTATATCCATAAAAGCACAAAGTGTTTATTTTATGAAAGCCCAAAAATTTAATAAGTCAAATTAACAGAAACAAACACAGTTAAAACCGACCATGAAAACTATAGGTCCCTAATGTTAATAAGAAGTATCTTAAATTTTAATTTCATTAGCAACGGCATTTTAACTTCTTAATAACGCAACATGTTTTAGTACAGTACTGAGTGACAAATAAAGGCAGTAAACTTGGTCATCAAAGTCCTCTAAATTATAAGGCATTTGTGTGATTGGTGCCACAAAAACAAAACCAACAAAATACTCCAACAAAATTTTTTCTTAGTATAGAAATGCAAACACTACAGGGGTATATTATTTAAAAAGTAAACATTTATATTATATAACTGGAAATTTAACTGCAAAGAAGAGGCCTTAAAACATACAGAAGCTTACTGTACAGGTATTCTGATGTTTCTTTAACGGTAAGACACTTATACATGCATTTCAGATACAATTAATCATATCTCCAGATTATCTGGAAAACCTCACACTAAAGAACTTTCTTCAAGTATAAATCAGCATATGAATCACAATGTTATTGCTATGACTGTAATTAAAACAACAATTTAAGTAACTAATTTTGTCAATAAATAGTGACTTACTTGAAATGTAAATAATCTTTTGATCACTTCTTTGACCAAGGGAATTGGTCACTTGACAGACATAAACGCCAGAATAATTAAAGGTCAGTGGTTGGACAAAATGAAGAGTATTGTCTGAAGCCAATAAACCATCAGGCCACTGTCCATCCAACCTAGATTTTAAGAAGCATGAAATTACTCGAAATACTTTGAGACTATGCCAAGAGGTATTTAAATAGCTGTTCCATTTAGAAACTAGTGAAAAAAATGAATACATACAGTACACACTGCACATACATACACAATGGAACCCACTACTCAAGCCGAAAAAAATGATAGTTTATAAATTCATGACAATATGGACACCTAGAGTGAAGTTACTGTTAGTGAAGTTAGTCAAACAAAGACAAAAATAAATGCCACATGAGTTCACTCTTATACCCTACATAAACAAATGAATTAAAATACAACAAATATTGATTATAAGAAAACATTAATGAACTCCTGAAGAGAAAAGAAGTGGCATAAAATTTGGCAAAAAGTGGCAAATGAGTGGTGAAAGATAAAACTAAATTTTTAATGATAAACATTAAAAATGTTCATAATGATAAATACTTCTTACATCTACTAGAATGTATTATAAAATAATTTGAAATTAATACAAGATTAACGGACTGGAGCGACAGCACAGCCGGTAGGGCGTTTGCCTTGCACGCAGCCAACCAGGCCAGCGAAGCCGGGTTCGATTCCTCCGCCCCTCTCAAAGAGCCTGGCAAGCTACTGAGAGTATCTCGCCCGCACGGCAAAGCCTGGCAAGCTACCCGTGATGTAATCAATGTGCCAAACACAGTAACAACAAGTCTCACAATGGAGACGTTACTGGGCCCGCAAGAGCAAAATCAATGAACAACGGGAGGACAGTGCTACAGTGCTACAAGATTAACAATTCCTCCAAATTTACCAGCAACCCCAACAAATTACAATAGGAAAGGTGAGAAAAAAGATGATTAAAAAAAATCTAGTACCAAAGATACTAATGCAATTCTTAGTCAATGATGAATCATTAAAGATGTACCAACACTTTTCTTAATAAAATGTCATGTCACACACAGGTTAATGTTCTAGTAGCTTCTACTAAATATTTTAAAAGTATGATTTTATACTGAGCAAACTACAGACTGTGCCCTACCCAAAAAAGTTTCTGAAGCATCGAGACAGGCCTTCCCATGATGAAATCAGGTGGGTATTTGTGACAAAAACCAAAGGAAAAATAATTCCTTTCAAGTGCTGTCTACATCAATTTGGCAAAGATATCCTGCCCTGAATATATGTTATTGTACAGATAATAGGAATAAATTCCAGCTCTTAGAAATTCTAAGGTCATTCACTGCAATGAATCTAACTATACTGTTTTAAGTCCATTTTCCAATCTTAGAGTGACAAAAAAGAAACAGATTAACAGGTCTTTAATTTCAAACTACTTCCAAAGCCTAGTATCTGGACAGAATTCAGAAAAATGAAGACTCAATAAGCTGACCATCAGAGGGAAATAAAAAGGACTCTCTTGTATCTGGAACTTCCACAGCAGAAACTTATTTATTCCAGTTACTTTTGTGGAAAACTTACTAATGAGTAATTCCCAGGAGACAAAGAGAATATCCCTTAAGCATTTTACTTTAATGCATCACCATTAAATCACTGAACAACCCATAATTTTTTTTCATATCTACAAAATGAAAAGGGGGGAAAAAATCCTTGGTGCTAAAAGACAGTACATACTTCAAGGGAAAAAAAAAAAACCTTGGAGCAAAAAAAAAGAAACAAACAAAGAAACAAACAAAAAAACTGCAGAAGATATAACTCTAATATCTCTACAAAAAACCCAAATCTTTACAAAGTACAAAGTTGCTATGAAAACGAACAAAATACTCTTGGGAACTAAAAATATATCCAAAAACTTTTTACTTGATAAATCAGTGGGGGGAAATATATCCTTGTGAAAATTGACCCAAACTATTCAACATTTAGTGTGTAAATAAACTAACTTTGAGTAAGGACGAACAGGAAAACCAGAAGTGAAACTGTCCTCTTTATAAGAAAAATTATCCAACGTTGAGATGTAAGTCTCTGGATTGAAAGGGGACCCCCTTAAAAACTGAGCAAAGTCAATGAAAATCTTCATTCAGCAGTTTGAAATTTCCAAGATTAAAAGAAAAAGGATATCCAGAGTAAAGCAGGTACAATTACGAGTGTCAGAGAAAACAAAGAGTCCCCCAAAGTTGACAAAAAATAAAAATTCCGGGATAACACTTATTTCTTGGTAAATAATGTTTAGGGAGGAAAACAGTAATTAGAGCTTAACTAGGTTCACTGGAACTATCCAGGGGAAGAGAATCTACAAGGTTATGCTTGTGTGTGAAGAGGGAGATATAAAATTAAGTTCATCTACCAAAACATGGTGTTGAAATATAGTTCATGAAGCAACAGCCATTTAAAGACTATAGTGATAGTACCAGAAAGAAATGCTGACATTTCTAAAGGAGTCACTGTGAGTAATAGAATTGTAAGAATAGGTTGCAAAGAGGGAGTGATGGACCAGGATAACAGACACAAATCTTTTATTTATTTTTAGCTATTACTATAAAAATGTATTATACAGTGATAACTGTTTCAGATGAATAAACATTCAGGAACACTTCATTTTAAAAGTTTCTTTGAAATGTACAGATGACATTATTACCTGCTCCACACGGATTTGAAGGGTGGTGGATTTGCATCAGCATTACACTTGAGATTAACACCTTTCCTTCCTACAAACCAATTTCCATCATAGCCTGTTACTGAAACTTCAGGAGCATCTAAAAATAAATGAATGACAGGACAGATTACCTTCTGTTAACAACAGAGCAAGATATAATTATGTTACTTTGAACCAGAAGAAATCATTTTACCTTCTTCTAACATATATAACTGTAGTAACAAAATATTCAAAAATTATTAGTTGACAAAAGAACAAGTGAGTGATGGACAATAAGAATCAAAAGACTAGGCCAAATATGAAAAGTTGTACTTAACATGCTTACTTGAATGGAAGAATACTCAGCTAGCTAAAATCACCAAAAGCAAAATAAAACATAGAATATAACACACTGTACCTGATGGCATTTAATTTAATCAGACATTGTCACTTAACTACCAAGTTACCATATAAAAAAATCTTACGTATTTAATCTGAAATAAGATGTTACCTTCTACCTATTAGAATGGCTAGTATTAAAAAGGAAAGAAACTAATATTGTTACAGATTTAAAAAAGAGAATTTTGTATTCCTTTTGGTAATATGAGTCAGTTCAGTCACTACAGAAAACAATGGAGATTCAAATAAAAACAATGACCTATGTTCTAGCAATTCCTTCTAGAGTTGGGTATTTGTATAAAGAAATTAAAAACACTAATTCAAATATATGTATGTACCTATATATTACTGCAATTATCAACAACAATAGCCAAGTTGGAGAAGCAACCTGTGTGTCTAATAAATGTATGAAGGATAAACTACGCATGTATAATGAGATAGTTAATCACAAACATAAATACTGTACAGTTTCTCATTACATACGGAAACAAATATAAACAAAAAACTGAAGTTCACTAATACAGAGAAAATAATGGGGGCTGGCCAAGTAGGAAGTGCAGAACTCGTGGGCAAAATGGGTTAAGGTCAAAACTTTCTTATGACAACAGAATGTACAGATGACAAATATAGTCAATAATAAAGTTCCTAGGTCAGATTTTAAAACCTTTCATCACAATAAAAAATGTTCTAACTGTGGGGGATGGGCATCACTAGATTTTTATGGTGGTGACATCTCAATATGCAGAAATGTTTAACCATTCTGCATAAGTGAAATTAGTATAATATGTTGATAATACTTCAAATGAAAAACCTGAAAACAAAATTTCAAGAAATATTTGTGCGCTCATAGTAGCATCATTCATAATAGTTAAAATATGAAACAACCAAATGCACAAAAAGATGGATAAGAGACAAACTGTGATGCTGGGTTACAGTGGAGTATGATCCAGTCTGGAAAAAAAATAGTCTAGACCATAAAGCAATGAGAAAAAACTTTCAGGACCTTATGCTAACTTAAGTGAGCCAGTGACAAAATGGCAAAAAATGTATAAATCCCTTATAAGGTACCTAGAATAGTCCACATACACACAGACAGAAAGAAGGCAAGGAGGTGAAGGACAGGGAAAGAAAATATTTAATAGGTAGAAATTTTTCAGTTCTACCAGATGAAAAGATGGATGAATGGCTGCACAAGAATGTTAAGATATCACTAAATTTTATACTTAAAATTGGTTAGGATGGCAAATTACAGTTATAGCTGCATTAAAAATAAATTATGAATAAGAAAATATTCCTTAAAATGCCTCAATTACAAAGATTATAATAAAATTATAATATTCTAGACACATTTAGAGATAATGCAAACTTAAAACTTTTTTTATTAAAGAGCCATGATTTACAGTTACTAACAGTTGCATTTTGGGCATACAATAGTTCAACACCAATCCCTCCACCAGTGTCAACTTTCCTCCACCAGTGTTCTCAGAGCCCCATAACCCATAACCCCCATCCCTATCAACTTGACAGGCACAGTTTCAGTTGTTGCCCCTGAATCTCATGGCTTCAATTCTGTCAAGTCTTTGTTTTGGGTACCTGGCTACACCCCTCACTCATGTCTCTGTTGCAACTGAAGCCCTGATGCATGTTAACCCATTACTTCTTGTTCTTTTCTTCCCCCTTGAATTTCTTTTCTTTCCTTTTCTAACTCTCTCTAAACACTGGGATCAAGGATGATCTAAGCACCCCCCCTTCACTACAATACATTTCCTCATCCAGTATTTCATATTCCACAGAAAACTGAGTTCAACCTCTATCTCTCCTGATTTACTTCACTCAACATGACTATCTTTCAGTTCCAACCGTGTTGCAGGAAATTGCACGATTTCATCATTCTTTGCAACAGACTTTCTCTAAGACTATACTTATAGCTAAAAATAAACTAAGAACTCAACTATTTCAAAACTTGAACTCTTATCCATTCAATGAATCTACAAATATTTTAACTTATGTAGAGTATAATCAAAGAAGACCATTTTTTTTTCCTTTGGCTTTCTGGGTCATACCCAGGAATGCTCAAGGGTTACTCCTGGCTCTGCACTCAAAAATTACTCCTGGCAGTGTGCTCAGGAAACCAAATGGGAAGGCAGCAATTGAACCAGGGTCAGTCATATGAAAGGCAAATGCCCTACCAGTTGTGCTATTGCTCTGGCTCCAGAAAGATAAAAATTTACTATCAGTTTAAATGTGCAACTAAATTAATTTTGTATTTGAATAGTAATAGGTAACATTTGAAGTTTGTCACTATGCTAATAAAAAAATCCAAGTATAAGAGCCTAATTTAAACTGAGGATGGGAAATAAAAGGCTCCTCTAAGGAAAAGCTCTTTACACATGGTACAGGGTATATCTCCATCTTTTCCTAAGCTACTTTGTAAACCAGAAAAGTCAAACACTGTGAGATGAGAAGTTAGAGCAGCTCAGTCTTCAGTTCTGCCAGGAAACCAAGATGTACTGTAAAGGAAGGTTTGAAAACAGGTGGGAAATTTAAATTTAATTTTAAAAAATTATCTTAATGATTAAATAACAAAGCAAAAACAAAAACGCACCCCTCCTTTAATATAACAAAATTAACCATTTCTGGGATTTTTTTTTGGCGATTTGGGGGGTTTTGGGGAGTGGACACTACTGGTACTCAGGGCTTACTCCCCTAGCTCTATGCTCAGGGAGCACTTCTGTCAGTCTTTGGGAGAGACCATATGTGGTGAAAGAGACTGAAATCAGGTCAGCTGGCTGCAAGGCAGGCACCTCAATACCTATACTAGCTCCCCAGAACCCAAAATAAACATTTCTGTGATTTCAAACTAAAAGGTTACTGAGAGAATGTATTATATGTATTTATATGTATTTTAACCTTCTCTTAAAGGAAGAGGAGATAGGTTACTAAACATACACCCCAGAGAATGATGTCCAATTTTGAGACACAATTTCTGATGTAGGACTTTAAATTCTGTTCACATTTTTTTTCTCTTCTTTTTTGGGTGGCTGGGTCACACCCTACTGTGCTCAGTCCTTACTGCTGGATTTTGGCTCAGGGATCACTGCTGGTGGGACCATATATGGTACTATGTCTTGAACTTAGGACAGCGGCTCTTAAGGCAAGTGCCTTACCTGTTATACTATCTCTACAACCCCATTCAACATATTCTTTTAAATCCAATTTACAAAGAAAATTGTATAATTGAAATCCAATCATGAACAACTTTGTAACTGTACATCTTAGAGATTCAATTAAAAAAATTTAAAGAAAATAAAAAGAAAATTCTATGCATACTCTAAGAAATGTCAAAAACAAATCTAAGCCTAACAATAAATCATATATTATGTGAGGTATTTTAATATATTTAGGATTATATTTAAAAGAACCGATACATAATACAAACTAAAAAAAAAAAAAATCCAGTCCTTTAACAAGCAGAGAGAAGAAAAAACTATGAGAAGAACAGTACTAATACTTACAATGGGCCCTGAATTTTACCAAAAAAAGAGGGGTGGGGAGTTAAGAGTCTGTGAAAGCAAGGTAGCAAGTGAAAAAAATGAAAATTTTTATTGGATTCTCCAGAAAAGTGAGGTGAAAAGAAGATATTTCCACTCAGGAGTACAATGGTAATAATATGAAAGTAACCAGAGTGTCTCAAGTTTAATCCTATAAATGGCGAAAAAGGCCCTCAGAATTAGCTTTAGAAACCATTACATCAAGTGTAATGAATACGGGCAATTTAAAATTTCACGCATATCAAAAGAGCCAGTAACAATAAAATTTAGAAAATTAGATTTATGATCTACGTATGAGTGGAAACGAAAATAGAACCTAAACATTTCCTTAATTTTATCTTTAATATGCTTAGATTTCATTATCAGTACTATAATTTATCTGCATCATTACCTTTCTTATGTCTCAATTTTAAAATGCTATACAGGAAGAATTCATCAAAAACTGAAAAACTTTATATAGAAAATAAGGCATCACATACATATGCACGTGTGAGGCAAAAGCGTACCTGAGAGTACTCCTTAAAAGGATCAGTTTACAATCTTATTTAAAATAGCTGTGATCCCTTTAAGACACTTTTTTATGTGTGAATTTTGCAATGTGATCAGTAAAATCAGAGTAGAAATAACATTGAAAAAGTACTTATTTTCAAGATAATAAAAATATGCCTAGAGAAATAAAAGTGTTTTGCCAGAAACATCCTTAAGCTGAAAAATAGCAACATTACCCTTGACTGGGAAGTAAATGTCTGATTTTAAGTATTACACATTTTGAGGTCAAAGTAAAGTAAGTAAAGGCCCTCCCGTTGATCATCGATTTGCTCGAGCGGGCCCAGTAACGTCTCCATTGGAGACTTTGTTGTTACTGTGTCTGGCATATCGAATACTCTTGGTAGCTTGCCGGGCTCTCCGAGAGGGGCGGAGGAATCGAACTCGGATCGGCCATGTTGGCTGCGTGCAAGGCAAATGCCCTACCACTGTGCTATCGCTCCAGCCCCTCTGAGGTCAAATTTTCCAAAATTAGATGAAGTTCCGACACTATTTTCAAAGTTGAAAAAGAATAAAGCTAAAGAGTTTTGAGTCAAAGAGTAACTTTAAATGAATTTTTATGACTTTAAAATCAGGAACAAAATTGTCAATAAAGAGAGCTTGCATATCCATGTACTATCCAGGTACTATTCAAATTAGAAAGTGTGATAAAGAAATACAGCAAAAGAATAAAATTAAGACACATAACAAGCTGTAAAGTAAATATTGCCATTTACTTACACTGTATATCTAGTATGAACGAGTATCTGATGTCCTTTTCCAAAGCTGGATGTTTCACAACACAAGTAATTCGTCTTCCTCTAGCAAATCTAGTTGGAAACAACTTGTATCGACTAACAATAGTTGCTGTTTCATTTGGAAAAGAAGTCGTAGTAGATTCCATTTCACCAAGATCGCCTTCCCAGTCAATACTTGCAACTGGTTTTCCAGTGGCTGCTATACAAACAGCTGCTACTGTCTCATTTCCTCCGTCAATTAAAGAATCTGATCCTTTTATTAGGGTCACAGTGGGTTCAACTGTTAGGGTGGTTCAAAGATTTATACTTCATTAGTTAAATTTTATGTAACATATTTATATTCTTCCAAACTGTTGTACCAAGCCATATTTCACTAATTTAGGGAAGTATAAAAAAATCTACACATAATCTTGTATTATTTAAGAAAAAAAATCATGTGCTAGGACAAATAAGTCAATATCAAATAATCATTTAAATGGTTTTCTCTCATAAAGAGGTTATCTGCAGAGTGAATTTATATTAAAATTCCTGAAAATTAGAAGTCTTAATTCCTTCCTCCATGTTTCTCTTTAATAGCATCTACCTTGACAATTGCCAAATTTTTTATTTTTCTGCCTAATTCCTCACTACTCAGCTCTTGAATTACTGTCAATCAAGCCTAATTTATTCTATACATTAAGATTTTACTACTTTGTTTCCAAAATTTCCAACTGCTTTTTAAATGCAACTGGTTCTTGATTTATATAAACTATTTTCCTTATGACTTCCCCTTCTGTAAGACTTTTAGCTTTCATTTTCAGATCACTTAGATTTGGTGGCCAACTGTATAAATTATTAGTTTGAATGGTATATGGCGTGGGCCAGAGAAAGAGTACAGCAGGTAGGGTACTTGCCATGCATGCAAACAAACCAGGTTCAATCCCCAGCACCTCATTTGATCCCTGGATCCCCACTAGGAGAGAGCCAGCCGGCGTCAGAAGTACTAAGTACAAGTACATTCAGGTGTGACTCCCTAACCCACAAAAATGTTTATGATTGACTTACTGTTGTACAGTAACAATATTTGGTATAAACGATTTTATCAGCTATATTTTCATTCATGTTGTCTTGGAACTTTTATGAAAAAGTTTCTCTACTTCATTCCTTACACTGGAAATGCTGCTATGTTTATATTCCGCTTTACCAGACAATGCCAACAAGCTTTTCAAACTACCAATTTATTCCCCATTTTAGAGCTTTGATTGGCCCATGTATTCACTAGTTGATATTGGCACACATCTGTTTACCAGGTATATGTTTGTATACAATTGTATACAAAGGTGTATATAATATATAATTTATATCATTGCTTTATTTTTAATTTCTCAAAATTCATAAATGAGGTTAAGAATTTTTACATGGATTTCTGATTTATTGGGAATTTCTCCTGTAAAATGCCTATAAAGCCGTTTCCCCAGTGATTAAAGAAGAGTCCTTTTACAGTGCCTGCCTGCCTCTTTACCCTTATATGTTTTGATGACTACAGTTTTAAGATTTAAGTGTATCAAAATTTATCATTTTATTCCCTCTGATGGATAACTGTATTTTTATACTAAGAAATATTTCTTCACCTCACAGTCAATTATAATTTTTAAAGTGCACAGTTTCTTTTCAAACAATAGTTTTAAATTGTACAGTGAACAAAAAGTTTGTTTCCACAAGCTCTTTTCTTCTGCATACAAGCTATCTATTATGTTCCTGACAGTAAATTTTTGTGAACATTTTAAAATCGAATAGCCACCATGTGAGTTTTCAAATGCTTAAGCAGTGTGTTTTATCAAAACATTTACTCAGTTTAAATTTCTTAAGCATACATTTGTTTTCCCCACAATTTAGGGTATTATCTTAAACATAAGATCCTCAAATGCTTAATTTTATCTGTGTTTTTCAACAGTACCTTTCAACATGAAAAAAAAAGTAACAAATCAATACAAAATCGCTTTTCTGCACTTCAGTGACCCTAAAAACTATGCTCCTTTTAAGCATACTGTGTACATGTCTGCTGCTCGAAAGGTATAAAAGAACTTACAAAACAGAAGAGCTGAGGAAAATAAAGAAAAAAGAAACTATCTCAACTGAACTAAGTCCCTGATAGACCAACCATGTGGATTCAGCGCAGACTGCCCTTGCTCAATAAAGTGGTCTCACTCTGAGTGCAAATGGCTACATTTGCTGGATTTCCTTAATTCTTGTTCTATCATTTCTAAACTATTCACTCATGTTTTAATATTGGATTACTTTTCATAGTAAGTAGTTTTGTGTGCATGTATGTGGGGGGGATGGGGACTGAGAGTGGGGGGTGGGTTGTTGAGGCCACAATTGCAGTACTCAAGGGTACTTGGGCTTACTCCTGGCTCTGTGCTCAGAGATTACTACTGGTGAGGTGGTGACACTTACGGGTGTCAGGAATCAAACCCACGGGGTCTGCATGCAAGGTCTGTGCCTTAACCACTCTTTCAGGCCCACAAATGGCTTTCTTAATGATAGTAAATCATTTTAAATACTACCATAGACTTTAACAGTTACCAGACACTAAAAAGAAATATAGTCATTGTGAACAACAGTCCAGTAATCAAATTCACAACAGTAAAACAGTATTTATAAAACAGAAGTGTAGTGCCAATGCCCCAGGATCACTGCCAAATTTTAAAAATAAAAATCTTAAGGACAATAATTTGATTAAAGGCCTAAAACATCAAATTCAGAACTTGGTATTATAATTCAATAAATCTTTCATAAAGAATATAAAATAATTTTAAAATGTACAGCATTATTATAGGTAAGGTTTGTAAATACAAAACCTTGTTTAATTTTAAAACAGGTTTTGAAAACTGTGATTTTAAGCAAATTCATATATAATCTGAATAATTTTACACACTCAAGACTACCTCTAATATTACCTCACCCTAACAAATATACACAATTCAAGCAAAATACACAATTCAAGAATACATACCTAATACAGTTACAGTTGTAGAAGACTGAGCATTTCCAAGTGGGAATGTAACAGCTTTACACACATATTTTCCAGAATCAGAGAATCCGATGTTATGCAGAGTAATGGTCGCATCATTAAGTGAGTAGTTTTTAAACAAAACTCTTCCCTGATATTCTCCTTGAACAGAGAATCCATATTGAGGATGATGAACTGCAACAGTCTGTGAACTTTTGCCATGTATCTTTTCCCATGAAATCTGTGTTATAGTTTCATTAACTTCAATTAAACACTTCAATGAAACATTCTTTCCCCATACTGCTGTGACATGTGGCTCCACAACAATTGGTCCAGCTAAGGCACCTATGAAGGGTAAGAGAAAATATATCTTAAAATTTGAAAGTCAATGTTAATATAAGATCATTCTCCACTTCCTGTTTCTCTCTCCCCTTCCCTTCTTCCCCTCCTGTAGGTATACATTCGTATATATGTATGTGCACCCTCCTCCCTCTCTCCTTCCTTTCCCCACCCCCCACCCGCAATAGAAACAACTGAAAAAAGCTGGTTGTTCCTAGTACTGTAGAAGTAAAAAATAAGACTCTCAAGAAAATCAAACACCCAACTATTAATGAAGTGGGAAAACCACTGTAAGAGGTCCAAGAGTACAGCTGAAAAAAATCAGAGCCCCTTCCCCAGTGAAGCCTTCAGATACTCCAGCTGAATGTTTGAGTGCAACCTTATGAGAGGCTCTGAAGCGAAGAACCCAGTAACTGCTAAGAAAAAAAAAAGCGCGCGGGAGGGGGGGGGGAATAGGAAAAAGGGAAATATTATAGTCTGACGAGGTTCAATTAGAGAGATAAAACTATTCTACAGGGAAAAAAATTACAAGACACAAAAATTATTTAAATAATTCATTAAGGGTTATGCAAGCAAGAATTTAAAGAAGATAATGAACAATACAAAAGTGAACACGGCCGGTAAGACCCCCCTAGCTTTGACTAAAGATATCCTTGTATGGGGCTGGAGTGATAGCACAGCCGTAGGGCGTTTGCCTTGGAGCAGCCAGCCCGGGCCAAGCCTGGTTCGATTCCTCGCCCCTCTCGGAGAGCCTGGCAAGCTACCGAGAGTATCTCGTCCCCACGGCAAAGCCTGGCAAGCTACCTGTGACATATTCGATATGCCAAACACAGTAACAACAAAGTCTCATGATGGAGAAGTTACTGGGCCCGCTCGAGTAAATCGATGAACATCGGGAGGAGAGTGCTATCCTTGTATGCTGCAGAGTCTAAGTTCTTCAATATAGCATGTCACTTACAGATTACATGACTATATAGAAAAGCAAGATGATCAGACAAAAAAAAATGCTGGGTAATTACAGCAAGGTTAAAAGATACAAGTGCTTTTCTATATGCTACCTATGAATATGCAGAATTTAAAATTAAAAGCAATTTCATTTACTTTTGCACTCCTAAAGTGAGATATTTAGATATATAATAAAATATATAAAAGATCTCTAAAAAACTACAAAAAGAAATCAAACTAAAGAATTACAGAGATAGGGGCTGGAGAGAGAGCACAGCGGGTAGGGCATTTGCCTTGCACGAGACCGAGCCGGGTTTGATTCCCAGCATCCCATATGGTCCCCTGAGTACCGCCAGGAGTAACCCCTGTGCATCGCCAGGTCTGACCCAAAAAGCAAAATAATAAATAAATAAATTGCAGAGATAATCTATTGATTTAAAAAAAAAAAAGGACTATATTGTCACAATGACATTTATTCCCAACTTGAGCCTTATCCATTTCAGCAAGCAGTAGTTACCTAGTAGGCATCAGCATACCGATAATAAATCTGTATTTGAAAACAAAAGACCCAGAATACCCAACACAAATACTGAACAGAAGTCAAAAGACATGAAAACTATATGACTTAAAGAGTGACAAAGAGAGCAATGAAGTAGGGGACTAGTGAAAGGACTGACAAAAAAAAATAAAGAAAAAAATAAAGAATACTAAAATAGAGCCAATAACTATACTCAACTACAGTTATTGGAGCAAGGGCCAAAAATAGAGTAAATAGGTATTTTAAAAGTATTAGAACAACTGACAGACATGAAAAATGAGCTTCAGCAGACTTCATACCCTTCAAAAACTGAAGTCAAAATGAATTATAAACTTAAATGTGAAAAAACAAATCTATACAATCTCCTACAAGGTAACTGATCTTGAGTATGGAAATAACTCTTTTAAATCACAACACCAAAGGCACAACTGTTGATAGTTTTAATTAATTAATCAAGATGAAAAATTTCAACCCTGCTAAGACAGTATCAAGAGAATCTGAAGATAAGTCTCAGGTTATAAGAAAATGTTCACAAAAAGCTCCTCTAATTTAAAGTCTAATACTGTAATAAATATAGTGGACACTTCTATACTAAATATATTTATCTAATAAAGACTAATTATACTTACCCAATAAGGACCCAAAATATACAAGCTGATTTTTTTAAGGGATTTCTGATTTAACAGTTATCTTAATGTAAGAATGGCAAATAAGCACACTTAAAACCAGACACTGACAAGGATGTGGCTCAACAAGAATCTTCATCCACTGCTGGTGGAAATTCAAATTATGATTGCCAGGTGAGAAGATGACAAGTATCTTTTTGTACAAAAACTAGTTTACCATCCTACAATTTACCATACAAACTAGCAATTGTGCTCCATGGTAGATAACAGAGCGAGGAGACAAGAAGCCTCCTGAAGAAACCTCTAACTCCAACATGATAAACACACATCATGAGTTCTAAGTCACTGCACTGCACTGTCCTCCAATTGTTCATGATTTGCTCGAGCGGGCCCAGTAACGTCTCGACTGTGAGACTTGTTACTGTTTTTGGCATATTGGATATGTCACAGGTAACTTGCCAGGCTTTGCCGTCCGGGCGAAATACTCTTGGTAGCTTGCAAGGCTCTCCTAGGGGGCAGAGGACTTGAACTCGGGTCAGCTGGGTCCACCGCGTGCAAGGCAAACGCCCCACCCACTGTGCTATCGCTCCATCCCATGAGTACTAAGTAACTCAAGAAAACCAACAAGGGCAATTACAGGAGCCTTTAGAAAACTCAATACTTTTCCAAACAAAATCAATAAGTAGCTAAAGTTCTCAAGTCAGTACTACTTCTACCAGAGGTGCAACACATGGGGAAAGTATGTTTTCATGAAAATTACTTAGTCTGCACTTTTGATTCCCTTGTCAACCTGTGATATTGTGGAAGTTTTTTTTTCTTTTTTGGTCATACCAAGAGATGCTCAGAGGATTATTCCTGACTCTGTACTAAGAAATTACTCCTGGGTAAGACATTATATGCTTGGCGGAGACCACGTAGGATGCCAGGGATTCAACCCAGTTCAGCTGCATGCAAACAAACATCCTAATCGCTGTACTATTGGTCCACTATTGTGGAACTTTTTTAAACACAAATAAAACTGCATTTTAATCATAATATAACTATTTACTCAAATAATAATGTATTGTTATTCAAAAAAATTTATAAAAAATAATTTTAATCACAACCACAGAGACAGGCACACATCAAAATAAACAAAAACACAGGGCACAATGATGGTACCGCAGGTAGGGCATCTGCGGGGGCTGATCTGGGTTCAAACCCTGGTATCCACTGCCAGGAGTAATTATCTGAGTGCAGAGCGAGGAGAAGCCCTGGGAATCCCTGGGTGTAGACCCCAAACAAAAATAACCAGTGTGTTATGGATTTGGGCTGGGGTGAGACCGTGGCAGGTGGGAATGTTGACTACTCAAGCCCTTTCCGGTAAAAAATATGGACACTCTGAGTTCCCACTGGACCCAGCAATTCCAGTTCTTGAAATACAATCCAAAAGCTCAAAAAGCAGTGGAGAGCTGGTGGGAATGCTGACTGGTTCAACCCTTTTGGAAAACAGTATGGACGATTCTCAAGAAATTAGAAAATTGAGCTTCCATTTGACCCAGCAATACCACTCCTGGGAATATATCCCGGAGAGGCAAAAAAAGTATAGTCGAAGTGACATCTGCACTTGTTTGTTCACTGAAGCACTGCTTACAATAGCTAGAATATGGAAAAACCCTGAGTGCCCGAGAACAGATGACTGGTTAAAGAAACTTTGGTACATCTACACAATGGAATACTATGTAGCTGTTAGAAAAGATGAAGTCATGAAATTCACATACAAGTGGTACTACATGGAAAATATCATGCTAAGCGAAATAAGTCAGAAAGAGAGGGACATAGAAAGATTGCATTCATCTGGATAACATAAAGTAACAAAATAAGAGACTAACACCCAAGAGCAGCTGTGATAAATACCAGGTTATTCACTCCATGGCTTAGAAGCCAGCCGCACAATGTAGGGACAAAGACAGCTCAGATAGAGAAGGGAACACCAAATAAAGGGTGCTGGAAAGATCCGCCCAGGATGGGAGATGCATGCTGAAAGTACACTATAGACAGAACATGATTGCTACCCAATGTCTCTTCTGCAGACCACAGCAGTCAAAAGGAGAGATAGAACAAAAGGGTGGGATGGGGGCTGGGAGGGGTGGGAGGAATACTGGGATTGGTAAGGTTGGAGAATGGGCACTGGTGGTGGGATGGGTACTCGATCACTATATAACTGAAACCCAAGCACAACAACTTGTAAGTCTGCAACTGTACCTCATGGTGTTTCACTAATAAAAAATAAATAAATTTAAGGCAGAGTCTCCTGCCCCCGCGCCTGGCTGTCCTTACCGGGGCCCCTTGGAGGGAAGAGGGTTGAGTTTTCCTCCCCGCCCCGACCAGGGCTTCGGCAGCTGAAGACCTCCAGAACCAGTCACCGCCATGCTGAGACCACTCTCCGCACACATGAAGGAACCGGCAGAGGAACAAAGGTACGCGGGTCCCGGGGCTGAGATCTCCAAGCCTACTCAGATCGGGGCTGAGCATCCTCCACCCAGATCCTCCAAATTCCAGTAGGCGGGGCTTATACCCACATGGTAGAGTCTGGCAAACTCCCCGTGGCATACCCAATATGCCAAATGCCAGTAATAATGAAGGATCTCATTCTCCTAACTCTGAAAGAGCCTTGAATATGGCACTTTTTAAAAAAATCTCAGGGCTAGGATGAAGGAGACGTTACTGGGGCCTGCTCGAGGCAATCAACGAGTAACAGGATGGTTGTGATTGTGAAATAAATTTTTAAAAAAGCAGTGGAGAAAAAGAGATCTGCACTCCTACACTCACTGCAGTTCACTATTCACAACAGTCAAAAATCTCGAACAACAACAAAAAAAGTGCTCAAACAAACAATATATGACAGGATAAGGAAA